ATTAGATCTGGAGAGAATCAGGGAACTGTGCACCGCAATCAGGATAAAAATGATTACATCTCAATAAATCATAGAGATTATAATTGGCATACAAGAACTTTAAAACATCTATTATGAACTTAAAAACAAATAAAACATGTACTACAAGAGTGAAAAATGGAATCTATTTAAAAATCAAGTAAAAATATAAACAAAAATTCAACTAATAAAAGAAACAGAAATTTCAAAGATAAAAATATAATATCTGAACTGTATTAGCTTAACAACAGATTACATTTCTGCAAAAGAAAAAAAAATCATTGAACTTGAGTACATAGTAATAGAAACCACACTGAAAGAAAGAGAAAAGTAATGGAAAAACCTAAGTGGTAGGATGTAACAAGGGGTTAAAATATGTGTATTAGGAGTTCCAGAAGGTGGAGGGAGACAGGAGAGAAAAAAAATATTTGGAGAAATATTGACCAAATTTGCCTGGATTTTATGAAAAATGTCAACTTATAAATGCAATAATCTCAATAAGACCTAATAAAATGAGAAGTTTCACTGACTTCTCATCAGAAGCAATGCAATCCAGAAGACAAGGGAATATTTTCAAGTGCTCTCAAAATAGTTAAGTAAACTGTAATAAAATAGTACAAATTAAAGACATTTTCTTAAAAAAAAGAAAAGAAAGAAAACCTGAAAAAACATCAGACCTACATTACAAGAAATGGTAAAGGAGGTTGTTAAGGGAAATGATACCAAAAGGTCCTTGGAACAGCGAAAGGGAGTGAAGAGTGCCAGAACTGGATTGAGACACATGATTTGGAAAACAGAAAACATCCTAGCAGCAGCAGTAGCAGCAGAGGGGATAGATCATGTGGCAGTTTAACAGGGATGTTCTTTATAAGTTACATTCTTCAAAACTTTTCCCATCCTACCAGATTTGAATTTAATATGGGATTTAATAATAGTTTAGCAGTAGAAGCTTTTTTTTATTTTATTTTATTTTTTTTTTTTTTT